ATATTTATCACTTTTTTTCTCTCTGTCTCTCTCCTGCCTCTCTCTCTCTCTCTCTGTCACTCTCCTTCTCTCTCTCTCTCTCTCTGTCACTCTCTCTTTCTCTCTCCCTCTCTCTCTCTCTCTCTCTCTCTCTCTCTCTCTCTCTCTTGTAACTCTTTTCATTGTCCGCACAGCTTGCAACACTATTGTTCCTTTGCAATTTATTCAAACAGAAAGAACATAGTAATGATCTTGGAAAATGCCATAAGCAATTTTTTAAAATCGTATAGTCCACATTAGTACGACTGTAAATAGCTCGACCTGTTTCTGATCCGATAGGCAGGGTTTTGTCCGAGTATGTCTTTGGTAGCTACCCAAGCCGCTTGCATTTTTTCTGTCGTCGTGGCATCTAGTTTAATTTGTTAGCACTTTGTTCCAATCCGTTTTAACAAAATGGCAACATTTCGAAGTCAATTTGTTACCCCTTTGACGTACTTCTTACTCTCTCCCTAAGCCGTGAGGCACATAAGGCGGGGAGAAGTCTATCTCTGGCCAAGTTCTCCAATCCCGGCACTTACAGGCCCTGGGTGATTGCGTCATCTTGCTACCTCTTTTCTTATTTAAAAATACAATAATTTATTGAAATCATTTGAAAACCAAATTCAGTAATTCTTTTGTGTAATTTTGTAAATTTTCTTTCTATTTTCCTTCCAACAGGTTCATCGGCATAGTTTTCCCCTTCAAAGTCCGGGAGCTGTGTACTCGGAAGAAAATTGTTGGAATAATCATGGTTACCTGGCCTGTATCTGCACTCTGCGCACTCCCAGTGTTGCTCTACAACGTCACCGTACAGACAGGGCCAAACATGGAGCACTGCAAGATTCTACTTCCGGGGTCAAACAAGCGCAGGAGTTTCCTCCTCTACAAGTACCTGGAGGCGGCGTTCTTCTACTTCCTGCCCATGCTCATACAAGTTGTTCTGTATTCCATAACCTGCAAACGACTCTTCTCCAGCAACAAACAACTTAGCACCAAGCTACAGAGCAGTCGCTACAAGACAAACGGGAGAAACAAGGACGACGACTCGGACACTAAAAAAGCCCGGATTGGAGTTGTAAAGATGCTGATCGCCAGCGTATCCTTGTATTTCATCAGTTACTCACCCCTCCAGATTCATTTGATCTACTCGACGTTCGCTCGGTCGAGCATCCTTCAGAGCTGGGAATTTTTCGCCTTCGTTATGATCATCACTCACGTCAATTCTGCAGCCAATCCCATTCTGTATGGGATCTTTAGCCAAAACTTCAGGCGGAACTTTAGGAGGTGTCTTCATTCCGGCTGTAAGTGCGACCAGGAAGGTTACTTGAGGGCTAGACTGGACACTGGTGACTCCAGGCATATGTCTACACGTTCATCAAGTACGAGCAAAATGCTGACTGACGTTTCTAAACTTTAATATTATACATCATGTTTTTAAATGAAGCTTGGATCCTTCGTGTTGTGAGGACCTCGAATGTGAACTAAAAGACATTGACAACAGTTACTGCTATTTTTCTACACAAAAGGTCACAAACGATAATTTCCTATAACTTCGATTTGATCCAACACGCAATCAGTGCTCTAGTAGGAATTCAGAATACTCTGGAATCCTTCACTGCATAAGATTATTGTTAATTAATATTATTGCTCGTTATTTTGTTCGTTAAAAAGGTTGACTTTGGAAGAATGAACATCCATTTCAAATAAAAATCACATTTTCACCTTAACTTAAAAGGGAACGATTTGTATCAAACACATTCTCTTGTACTAAGATTTGTTGAATATTGTGTTTAGCGCGATGTTGTGATTAATAAAACGTCATGTCAATGAGAATGCAACACTCAGATGTGACTATTTCGACAGAGCTTCGCAGTTTCTGTTCTTTATTGTGAACTTTTTTTTTTGGGGGGGGGGGAGACTGCTGAATGTGGAGAAGTTGAATCAATTGACTATATACTAAAGTATCTGTCTGTCTCTCTGTCTTATTATAATGTCTATCTGCGCGTCTGCCTGTCAATCTCTCTGTCTATTTGTCTGTCTGTCTCTCTCTCTCTCTCTCTCTCTCTC